ACATACACACACACACACACACACACACACACACACACACACACACGCACACACACACACACACACACGCACACACACACACACACACACACACACACACGCACACACGCACACACGTACTAATGCATCTCTGTACTGATATTGCTAACCATCGTTAAAACGGGAATAGCAGAGAAGGCAGTTCTGCGTCAGATACCCTCACCGGTTCAATTGAACGCGTTCAACGGCATGTCCGTACGCACAGTCGCATGCGGAGTGTGGCACTCGTCGGTTGTTACGACAGAGGGCAAGGTGTTTACAATTGGCTTGCAAAAGCCCAGCAACCTTCTATCTAGACAAATAGGTGGGTATGTGTGTGGCATAGCTATTAGGTGGGTATGTGTGATACACAGCTACTAGGTGTGTATGTGTGATACACGGCTACTAGGTATGTATGTGAGTTATATTTTGGTGTGTGGATGTGTTATATTTAGGTGTGTATGTGTTAAGTTTAGGTGTGTATGTGTGTTTCATATCGAATAGGTGAGTATAGTGTGTATGATGTACAGCAATGAAGCGTGTATGTGCATTATGTTTATTCGTGTAAATACAGGGCTGAGTTAGCTCGTAAGTTGGTTGCAGGGTTGCTTATCTTGCACCAGAGGTACTGCAACGTTGCCTCAAAGGTTAAGTTTGGTAGCTGTGTTTGACACATTACCATTGTCTGCCCCAATTCCAACAGACCTGAGCTATTCGTCGCCGTTCTACGCAAGTGACGAGGTTAAGGCCAATGTGGATGTGGTCAACGAACTAGATCTGCAGGACCAGTACGACGGTATGGCCTGGATGGTTTACGTTTACGTTTGTTTACTTGTGGTTACTATCACAGAATGAGTACCTCGATACGTATCGCGGCACCCGAATGTACACGTACATACGCAACCCCCTTCGCTATATCACTCCAAGTCTACCTACACTGGACTATCCTGCATACGTACGCTGTACAACACACATAACACTCGCAACACCTATACCCACCAGACTCGGCGAGACAGCCTGCTCGTTGGGAATGTATTTTAGGGTTTAGCTTCATTTGAATGGTATCCCATGTTGTTGAGATTACTCTCGGATGAACTCTGTATGCGTGTGAGACTAACATAACTTCGCCTTCGAGCTGCACAGACACGTGTACATGTACAGGTGTGTATCTACCCACCCCAAAATAAGCCACAATGCACCACCAGACCAAGCGATAGTGTCCAAGATTTACAGCCACTTTCTCATAACCCGTATGTGTTCTCCAATCAAATGCTCAGAGGAGGTGACCCCATCGACAGCCCAGTCTTTCCCATTGGCGTCCCAACTGAGCGCTACGCTGATGAGTGGTGTGCCGGCTATAGCGGCGTGTGCATGCGGCGATGGCTTCACTGTCATGCTGTCTGGTAGGTATCGTCTGTTGTATTGTGTTGTGTTGTGGCGCAGTTGAGTGTTCTCGTGGTAGTGTGGGATGCGTTGACGTGTGTGTAGTGAGATGCTGTGGTGCATTTTCTTGAGTGTGTTTGATCTTACGGTAGGAATGAGACAAATACTTGTTTGTACACTTGAGTGCTATGGAGTTGAGGGGTTTGCCGTCCTCGGACGCATTCGGCTTTATGGCTACGCTCTGAGAACTCCCTGGGTGTAGGTAAAGAGTAGTTCTTCAGTGCTATACAAAACCTATCTCTAGGGCTATATTAAGCCTATCTCTAGTACTATACTAAGCCTATCTCTAGTGGTATACTAAGCCTATCTCTAGAGGTATACTATGCCTATCTCTAGTGGTATACTAAGCCTATCTCTAGAGGTATACTATGCCTATCTCTAGTGGTATACTAAGCCTATCTCTAGTGGTATACTAGGCCTATCTCTAGTGCAAAACTAAGCCTATCTCTAGTGCTATACTAAGCCTATCTCTAGTGCTATACTGAGCCTATCTCAAGGGCTATATTAACCCTATCTCTGTGCTATACAAAGCCTATCTCACAGTATAGGGAGTATAAAGCATTCGTCCACAGTGTCTAGTTGTGAATTGAATATAGCCTGGGTGGCATTGTCTCGTGTATACACCGAGATGTACGTGGTAGCCATTTCTACTGCTGAATTGATGCTATGCTTGTGCCTGATTTGGTTACTCGCACCATAGTGTGCGTTGGCGGCTGGCTGACAAATAGTAGGGTTTAGGGTTTTCGACAGATTGGGGGAGGCGTGATCTCGGGTATATGATATTGGGTGTACTATCCATAGTATGTTCATATATTAGCGCTGCCTTTTGTTGACTGATATTCGGTTCATTGTGGAGTGTGCCTGGTGGGAACAGACTCAAATTCCAGAGGTGGATACTGATTAGCTTGTTATAGCTGTGCCACCACACCCGTAGCTATAGACGCATACGCAGTGACAGCTCAAGGCCTCTCGCTTTCTAGTTGTTGGCGGTCGTAGATAGTGTTATCGTACGTAGCTGTAGGAACACACGGGATAGGGAGATGCCTGACTTAGTTTGCTAATAACTCCACACCGTCAGACTACCGGTTTATCTCATCCTGGATGGTTTGAACCCAAAATAACCTAAAACCCATCAAACTGTAAACTCTTTCTCACAGATGGGGGTGAGATCTATTTTTCTGGGTTGAATAAGAACATCGGTGCGAGTAGACTGGAGGCTATCAAGGTGGAAGTCAACAGCACTTCTCCAGTAAAGTAAGCATGTCGTTCATGCATGTGCTTTAAAGCCCACCTGTGTTGTGTGCGGGCGATATCACACGATAAGTCATTGTAGTTTGGATGTGCATGGTTACGGCCTTGATAACCACACTAACTCGCTAGAATGGTTTGCCGTAGGGACCTGCTTCACACATCAGTATACTTCTGTGTGTTTATGCTCATCCTCTTATCCTTGGTTTGATCTACTTTGTACTTGCATGTGCTGATACACCCATGGTAATTAGTTGTGTACTCACGGGTTGTCATAGAAACCTCTTTCACGACGCGCAAGGAATGAACATGCTTCAATCAAAGTCTATTACGCACTAAGGCAAGGATTGCGCAGTTCACCCGTTTACAAAGTAGTATAGCCACATATTGCCTCGCTGGAGTTTGCCATAGAGTGCCGTAGCCACTCGTATATGTGTACTGTGCACAATCAATCCTCTCTAATACATACATCCTCTCTAGTAGGTCTACTCTAACTCCTCGTAAGGGTCTGTAAAATCACGGCGGCGCAGTTATTAGATTCGTATCGATGTGGCTACACACACACTCGAGGAATACTTTGTATATTCTCAGTAAAACACGTTAATACACATCCATCCTCACTGTACCACTACACAGGTCTATATCGGCGGGATTGAACTTCTACACGGCAGTCACTGCTGCGGGTGATGTTTATGTCCAAGGACTTCTTCATGGACGGGTGTACAGGAGCTTGAGCAAAGTGATCACCGCTAAGGCCATAACCCACACCGCCACAGGAAACGATTTCTGCATTGCATATACTCGAGAATAAAAGACTGAATAGACTATTGTATACGGATTATAGTGTTATATATTGAGTACCTTACTATATACGTTGGTTTGTGAATATTAGATAATCATTGGTTGACAGTTAACATGGCACGGCTCAATTAATAGATACACTGGCCCGGCGTTCTCTACTGACGAAAAATAAATGCATCTGGAGCAAAATATATAATATAATTTGTAGTGCTTCGACAGACACGACCACTGGCGCAAGCAGGTGTGTAGACCTTTTAAGTTAATCAGTCGTTGAAGAATACAAGCTGCTATATTAAAGATAAAACATTGGTATGCCGGAAATATGCAAGCTTGAGGGTAATCACATACTAGTAGGCCGAATGCAAGTTTATATTTTATCTATAGCACAAGTAGTGTTATAGTTGTTCTCTCCAGGCCGCTTTAATTGCTGGTTCGGAGTGCACTTCCCGTTTCTAGTTCGAAGTGATAGGCGAGCTGAGTAGAGCCTTGACTTCGGTGCATATCTCTACTGAACCAATTCCATATGTACTTGGTTTATCTGTGTATGTACGACAGTCTTCATGTGTACAGCTGTGTTCAGTTATTGTATCTAAGATCAAAGACCTATATGTGATCAAATTCTACTTCCAGAAAAGTGAATCTGGATTGGATCCAGGATTAGAGTATCAGCGTGCTGCCTACGACTTTCGTCGATTGAGAGAGTTTAGGGGCGCGGCGCAAGTCCACCCCTTGCCTGCGCTTACTTCACCTTCCCGAAATACCACAGGTTGAGTCCACTGTGGTTGCAATCTTATTGTCAGTTTGGGTGTGTGCATGTGGTTGATCACGCAAAGTACCTCTGCGTATATACTAGGTATTGTTGTGTGGGCTTGGGTCGCGGCAGTTTCATTTGACCGTTTTCATGGACGAGTGTGTATATAGCGACCCTCTACCACCCATGGGGCTTTTATGATCATTTTTCAGAATGCCAAATTTGTCGTCGACTTGGAAGCTCTTTTCCAAAATTCCATGGAAATCAACTGCCACTTGAAGACATGTTGATTTCTCAATATTCACCACGTATCGTGGAAAGATAAAATGGGCTGCCGTGGCAAAAACTGTCCCCGCACTTGTAAACAAAAAGCGGTACAGTGGGGCTTGGAAAGTGGCATTGGGCTTATCAAAGGTGTCCACCGCCGCTCCGAAACTGAGCAAGACCATCATCATGAACGGCCCGTGACCTTTCAGCAACTGAGACAATTCACGCATCAGCGGGCCACTCACTCCATACCATATTGTGTATGCCAAAAACGCGTAGGAACCGTAGAACAACACGACAATAGCGATATACGCGGTGCTGTTGTGTACAGCTTGAAGTGCAACATTCAGTACTAAGGCGGCCACAACCGCTACCACATTCCCGAGGAATCGATCCACACCGTCAAAGAAGCCTATATCCGTATACGTGCCTGCAAGAGCGGTCAATTGGGCTCCGATGAAGAACCACGGTGTGTATTTTTGAGATTCGCCAATGTCGCAAATCAAATTTGGAAGGCAACTCACTGCGATGACAACCGCTCCACGAAATGCGGTCCACAACATACGACCCATGCTGGCATGTGAGGGGCGTGTGAGTGTAACACCCTCTATCAATAGAATGGTCACACTTTTTCGTAACGATATATCCTCATCGAAGTATTTGGTGGGCGTACTTGGTTTCCCAATGGGTGGATTGACGGGGAAGAAATGTAGCAGCATATAAAATGCCACAGGTATGGTGACACCGATAGCTACATAACACATTGTTGCTGCGAACGAATAGAGCACTTCTTCAATCTTATCTTCGTTTAGAGCATACGCCATGTGCTGCAATCCATGAAAAAGTGATATGCAAAGGGGTACAGCCTTATGACCACCCAGCGTATTGAAGCTATATTCCAGCCAGAACAATAGCACAGCATTAACGGCTAGGACCAATACCACGCTAACAAGTATGTTGGAATGGTAGGCCAAAAGTCCGGTCCCAAACCCTAAGAGCGTACCGAAAGCAATCGCACCACCTCTGAAAGATGGCACTATATACGAAGTCTTTGGAGGAACGGATATGACAACGATTGCAGTGAGATAGGCGAGTGTCTCACCACAGACCCATGATGTGCCCTGATAATTATAGTTTAATAGTTGTACAGCTAACATCACAATAACAACTGCTGCTGTGTTCACCACCGGTATTCTCCACATACCTGATTCATTCAGAAGTGTATTACTGCTCATTTTAATATTCGGATATTGACTTTATATTATTGTGCGTAGTGACGACAATACATCTTTGCTTTTATAAATTCTCTTGCAAAGATGTTAAAACACAGGGTCATAGGCGCACTTCTTTTTCTCTTCAACCCCCCCCCCCCCCTTCCGAGCCCCCCCCTTCGTACACTCTCTGCTTTACTCAAGAGCATCAAGAGAGAGAGAGAGATCAGGTAGAGAGAGAAAGAGATATGTAGTTCCCGAAAAATTCAAAAACCGAAACGAAGTTTCGAGTCGGAGACTCGGAGTCTCTCGCGGACGCGGCGTAGTCTCGCCTCTCGCATTTATTTATATTTTATCTCGTCATCAAACGACAAACATTGGTTGTACAATTTTCTTTGCTCTTTGACACATCAGTCTTCAACTCTTCATAGCTGCAGTTGGACAGTATTTAGTACGTATTTACATATGAATATTTTTATATATTTTTTTAAAAGTACTTCCGTTGCGTCCGACTTCGAAGCCGGGGGCTAAGCTCATTACGTTATGTGTGTGCTGAATAAAAATTGAACTTTAACGCCTATTTTCATGTTCTATATACTATATATAAAAAAAGGGTTATGTAGCTCAAATATGCCCAACGAAAATTCAAAAACTGCACTTCGAATATGCACCTAAAATCCACGAAATGGGCTATATTGAGAGTGTCGACCAATCATAAGCTCGCCATGTTTTCGATGATGCATATCCCAATTCCAAACCGGCGGCCTGTTTTGTCAAATTTGGCGCTCAACAGCCTCAACTGGGGGCAAATCTACGGACCTATAAATTACACCCCATCTGAAATCCATAGGACCATGTATGTAATAAATATTGAACTTTAACGCTTATATCGGCACGTAATAAAAGTTTTAACGTTTAACGCAATGAGCTAAGGCCGGGGGCCCGCCAGGTCTTCGGCCTTTTTCTAAAGTAACAAAAATAACGTTCCTTTTACTGATCTATTTTCGTTTTAACTTTTACCATCATAGGCATTAGGAATCCAGTCAAACTGTCCATCACAATCGTCAGTCATTTTTTTATAGCTCGGTTTTGTTCTGTAAAAATTAAAATAAATTAACAAAGAGTTTAGAGTTCAACTTTATAACTCTGGTTGGTAATTATCTGTGGCAAATTGTTCAATGTATTTTTATTAAAATTATTAAATGTTCACTTAGCACTGTGAACCAGTGTCAGTCTCGAACCCTTTTTTTTTTTGAACTATATTTTGTTTTTGTTTTGTATTTTTTTTTTTTAAACAAATCAATACTTTTGTATGTAAATGTATTTTATTGTATATATGTATGTATTTATTTGGCTAGAGAGAGTATTTGCATCAGAAACCAAACAGTAAACATAAATACAGTATGTATGATTGTAAATATGTAAATATGTAAATATGTATTCGATATTTTTTATATTGCGAACTTGTGGTGCGCCCAGTCGCACACGTAATACCATTCATACGACTAGCTACACCAAGTAGTAAGTCATAGTCATAGCCATAGCTATTGCGCTCTATGTCTGATTCAGAAGGCTATGAGTGAATACTATTGAAAGTATCAGCATTTAAATATATCAGTGTGGTGGCTAATGCTCATAAACAACACACACAAGCTGTAAGGTGTGCAGCTCACGATTTGGCATATATTTAGTGTGTTTTTAAGCTAAGTATATCACTACAGAACATTGTCTCATAGTCCTGTCACAGTCTTGTAGGCGTGC